GTTTAACATTTGTCAGCAGTCTAAGGACTCACAATTGGAAGAATAAAGATTTTTTTTAAAAAAAAAAGATGTGGATGTTTTCCCTTATAAATTGGAATCCATCTTTGTCTTATGTAACTAGGTCACAACATACTATTAATGTCAGCAGTTAACAATTGTGAAATTCAAAAAACCTAAGTAAATGAAATTTTTCATATTTTTTTCCTTTTATTCTTGGTTGGGGGCATGGGAGAGGGCTTAGAGCTGCCTTAATCTGTATTCTCTTGACTGAATAATAAATTTTTAAATATTAAAAAAATATAATGATATGGACAGGTAAAGAGATGTATTACTCATGACCATATAGGTTTGGCAGATAATGTCTCTACATTCATATTGTTGTTGTGTACTTTGAATTGGAACCGATCCATAGCTGATCCTCCAGGGGGTTTTCAGAGGCTGTGAATCGCATGGGAAGAGATTGTCCATCTTTCACCCTTGATTCAAACCACTTGCCTTTGTCTTGGAGATACAACTTCTTACTACTAAGCCACAGATGAATACTGAGGCTTGTTTTAGAAGTCAAGTCTCCAATTTCTTCTTCAGCTCCTACTTAGAGTTTATAATCTGTCCTTGTGTCCCTGGCCTTGAACTACCTTCCTATGTCTTGTAGATCTTGTGCCTTTTAGAGCTCAGCACATTCATAATCTCTTTTAAGAAGTATTTTAAGTTCTTCTCCTGTGACTGAACAGGAATCATTATACTACAGTTGTTTAGTTATCCATATTTTCTCCACGACTAAACATCTTGAGAAAGGTGATAATGTTGTATTAAAATTATGAGTCTGGTTTTACAGTTCTTTGGTTCATTTTGTTTTGTTGTGGTTCTCTCATCCCACCCCCAGTGTCTGGGACCATGTTTGAAGCATATTAAACATGTGAAACATGTTCATGGCATTAAATGATTATTATTAAATTTGCTTTTATAAATTTGAAAAAAACCCAACCTTCATTTTTCAGGGAGATGCTTGTTTCCTCAGAGTACTTGTTTGATAAGAATCGGCAAACCAGAAATTGGCCATCTAAAATGACTGTGTTAAGGCAGAAGCCACAAAAAAGCTGGTTTATATGCTTTCATGAATGTAGTTATTAGCAAGATGATTGTAAGAGGGAAAAAAACCCCAACATACCCATGAAGAAAATATAATGTAAATAAGATTGTATAAAAATAATGAATATTCACGAAACAAAATATAGGTAGATTATTAAAAAATTATAAAACAAAACAAAAAAAAAAGAAATATTGCTGAAACTGAAGAGAACCTGATTTGCTGCAGAGGGTCAAGCACTATAGTCTTCAGTAAGGATTAAATCTCAACATCAAGAACACAAAGATTCTCACCATTGGACCAATTGGCAGCACCCTAATAAAGATTGAGGTTGTTAAACAATCATAGATTTCTCGACTCCATAATCAACACTCTTAGTACCAATAGTCAGGAAATCAAAAGATGAATTGCATTAGGTAAATCTGCTGTCAGAGACTCTCCAGAGTACTGAGAAGCAACAGTGTCAGTCTAGACTAAGGTGAACCTGATCCGGGCCATGGTCTTCTCAATTACTTACTATGTGTCAGAGAGCTGGAAAATGACTAAGGATAGCAGAAGAAGAACTGATGGTTTTGAGTTGTGGTGCTGGAGGAGAGTCTTGAACAAATAAGGACTGCCAAGAAAACAAATAGTTCTCTCTTGGAGAGGTTGAAACCAAGTGTCTCCTTGAAGGCTAGGATTTTGAAGCTCTGTCTCAAGTACTTTGGACATGTGGTCAGGAGGGACCAATCCTTGGTGAAGGACATCATGCTCAGAAGGGTAGAGAGACCATATAGAGAGGATGTATTGCTGCAGTAACTAGGGCAATGGGGGTAGGCGTCAGATTCAGTGAGACTGGCTCAGGATAGGACAGGACAGGACAGGCTTCAAAACTGTTGTACGTAGGATCACTGTAAGTTGCAGGCAACTCAACAGTACATAACAAAAGATGCATAAACAAGAAAATGTTTTGCAGCAGATTTGACCAATATAATGTATCATTTGATTTATTTCTTTTAAGTATCCAAATCTTCTCCTCTCCTACTTTTCTTAGAATTGAAGTTACTAAGAAAAGAATGAGAAATACAACTGCCTAGTCAAAATAATAATTTTTATTCTTATCAATATTGTTGGCTGAATAAATTCACCAGGTTACTCATTTAAAAATTAAACCATTCTTCAGGTAAAATGACTCCTCTGAAGTGTCTTCTATGGCTCTGGTAAGTGTAAGTAATTTATTTAATAGAAAATAACTATGTACCTACTAAACAGATACTATACAAATCACTATGAGGAAAAAAATATATAATTCTATATATGGACTTTGCCAAAAGATATCTTGACATATTCCCTAGAGTTTTGCACTACACAAAAGGCTGTATATATCTGGCACTTAAAATCCACCAGTGTGTCTTAGGGAGAATATCTTCTCTCATGCAAATTATAGCCTCAGGAACCCAATGGAAATTTGCTGAGTCTTTTCCAACTTGATGGAAATGAATTATGTTGACTAAGTGGATAAAATAGAAATCATTTCTCTAAATCAGTGCTCTTGAGTGCTGCCCTGTAATTCCATTATGTGAATGTACCACAATGTCTCAATCCATTCAGTTGTAGTTGGACATTTGAGCTGTGTCCGTGTTTTTATGGTGGTGAATAACGCTACTATGAACATTCGTGTACAAATATCTGTATCTCCGTTCTAATTTCCTTGGGAGGCATTCCTAGCAGAATATAAATTCCTAGTAGAATCGCTGGGTCATATGGAGTTTCTGTGTTTAGCTTTTTGAGGAAATGGCAAACTGTTTTTCAGAATAGTTGTTGTACCATTTTACAATTCCACCCACAATTTAAAAGTTTCAATCCCTCTACTTTCCGACAAATACTATATAATACCATTGTAAAAAATGTGTATGGGGGCCCAAGGAGGGAAGAAGTGGGAGTAGAGGAAAGAGGATGGGTAGTGGGAAAATCACCAGGTCACACAATTTGGAGGGTGAAGGGAGCAGGTAAAGGAAATTGGAAAGATCTGGCAGGTACCTGAAGATGGGGTAATGGTGGGTATCATACAATAGTCATTTATAAAACACAGTATGTGGGAATGTTTGTATGAAACATAGTGTCAATGAAGAAAAGTGTAAAACACACATACACACACACATACACATCAAAATCCCCCTCTATGTACATGAATGAAATACATTGTATATTAATAATTATATGCATATCATTAAAAATACAGAAGTGGGAAAAGTACAAATCATGGAGACAAGGAAATACTCAAGACACAGACTGTGCCGTTAAGTATCTCTTAAGTAAGTGAAAAGACAAAAGACATAAGCAATGTTCTCACAGTAAAATATATAGATAGGAAATGTGTGAATTAATACATGGAAATGCTGGTTTGCTGAAAAATATTTAACAACCTGCTATATGAGAATAAAAGCTGTAGTTGTAGTATTTTCCATGGTGTAAACACTCCCATCAATGTATGATCACTGATGAAGAAATTTGTTTAAAGAACAATGCAAATAGATCTTGCTAGCTTGTTTCAACACACTTTGGATAGAAGATCTAGTTATAGTCAGGAATGGTCTAGGCACACTTCATGGAGGAGATAAAAAGATTGAAGCTAATTTTGCAAAGTACTTAAAAATTAGATCAACAAAAATGTGTTTGAGATTTGGGGAAGGCGTGAGCAGCACATAAACCCACAAATAATGTGTAATAGGTAGACAAATGTATACAACATTTTTAAAGGCTGAGAAAAAATATATATATTGCAAATGAAAAATACCAGTGTATTTACATGCTGCCTTTGAGAACTGAATCTTACTAGAGATCTGAGAAGAAAGTTGTGTGCTACAATGCTTTGGAATAATATACAAATCTCACTTTCATTTATGATGCCTTTATTTCCACCCCCATAATTTTCATCAGGTTGTCTGTGTGGGCTGAGTCAGAAACTACCTTGGCATTTGCTCATTAGTTTGAGTTATTATATTAAGTATACAGACGTCTAGTGGTAAAATGGAAATAACAGAATATTCTAAAGGAGTAGAAAAATTTAATTTTAACAGATGTCTGAGTAGAGTCTATTGTCCATAATTCTGTGTTGTGGTACTATAATTGTAAGAATTGGGCTTCTGCCTTTTATACCCCAATGAGTCCTGGTGTACAACTGTTTAGCAGTTGGTTGTCAACTGGAAGGTTCTCGATTTGAACTCCCCTCACTGCTCCACAGGAAACTCTAGTGGGCTTAGTAGTAAGAAGCTGTTCTGCAATCCTGAAGACTCTTGGTTTGAATTTACCCATTGCTTTGCTGGAGAAAGATGGGCAATCTCCTCCCATGTGATTAAAACTGCCTTTGAAAACCACCTAGAGGGTCAGCTATGGGTTGATTTGGACTCGACCATACACAACATTACAGAAAAAAAGATCAACAGTCTGATTCTGTCCAATGACAGTACAGAAAGTCCTAAGGTGCAGTTCTACTGTGCTGCATGTGGTTTCTAAGAGTCACAATCCATTTGGATGCAGTTAACAAAAATATCCCCAGGGTAGTATGTAGTCCATGGCTGGTTAGTGCTGGAGCTCAAAAGCCCAGCTCTATTTTCTCTTAGGAGAGAATAAGCAGAGTAAAATTTTACCAAAATCTGGCTGATTCTGATATTTCAGTCTCTCCTTGACCCTTTTTTATCCCCAGTCTTACCCTACTTTACCCATTCTTAATATTTGTTTCTTTTAGAAATACTACCTTAATGAAATATTTGCTTCCAAATTCTTAGTTTAGGTTCTATTTCCATTAAAACTCAATCAGAAACAATAAACATCATAACTCCTTAGTGTTTATGATAAAAAAATCACAGATATCTCTCATCTGCTACATTGAAACTCAGTAATACATGGTATATGGAAAAAAATGTCAACCAACCTGTCAACAAATGCATGGTGAAGAAGAAAGATGGGATCATTGGCAGATCCTTGTACCTGGGACATCGTTCCATTCATATAGATGTGCAAGGCATTATGCAAGCTGCTTTGAGAGGCATCGGCTATCCCAGTAAGTGGACTAGCAAATCCTGTAAATAAAAAGAAAATCATCATTTTTTTTTAAAAAACCCTTTTCTGTTTACCTTAATAAGAAAAAAAAATACAAATGAGTATCTCATTTCTATTGTGAATTCAGTCAAAAACATGATACAAAGTACTATTTCATTCTGTATTGGCAATATTTTCTATATGCCTATCATCTGAAAGCTGGGCAATAACTAAGCAGGATGAACTGATGCCTTTGAGCTGTGATGCTGGAGAAGAGTATTGAATGTACCATGGACTGTTAAGAAAATGAACAGGTTCATCCTTGAGAGGGTTAAATCAGGCTGCTCCTTGGAAGCAAGGATTCTGAGGCTTCGTCTGATATGCTTTGGACATGTTGTAAGGAGGGACCAGTCCTTGGAGAAGGACGTCATTCTTGGGAGGGTGGAAGAACTGCACAGGAGTGGAAGATCCTTGATGAGATGGATTGATTCAGTGACTGGGGTAACCAGGGTGGGTGTGCTGAAGACAGTGAGATTGGCACAGGACAGAGCAGCGTTTAGGGATGTTGTACATAGGGTCGCTATGAATCGCAAGCGAATTCATGGCACACAGCAACAACAACAACAGTTAATTTTACAACTAATCTCAGGAAATTGAATTGTGTTGGTAAATACACAATGGGCATAATTAACCATATAGAATAGACTCAGTGAATTCATACTTTGTCCTGTTGCTTTCTTTTACTGTTTTTTTTTTTTTTGTGGTTATGTGCTGCCCTTGCCTAGAACTCAGAGTGATTGATGGTAAGGACAACATATTTGAAATTTACACTATTCTGCACGATCTTCATAACTCTGCCATGTCTAAAGAGCTATGGTGTCTAATAGTGGCTCAAGGCCATAACAGCAGTCACTGTGTCTATTGATATCATTGAAGATTTTTCTCTCCTCTCTGACCCTCAAATTTTGCTATTATAGTGTGGTTTTTCCAAAGACTGGCCCCTTCAGACAATATGTTCAAACTCTGTGAAATAAAGTTTTACTATCTTTACCTCTAAGAAGCACCTAATTTTATTTTCTCCAAGACAGACTTGTTGGTTTTTGTTTATTTTGACGGCTCATGAGTCCAGTTCTCTTTTCCAACATCACAATGAAGAGTCATCACTTCTCCTATTATCCTTATTTATTGTCCAATTTTCAGATTACCACAAAGAAACTGAAAATCTTGTGTCTTGGATCAGGTATACCTTAATCTTTAGACTGATGCTGCTCTTCAGCACTTCACACATGTCCTTGAGAGCAGATTTTTCCAATCCAAAATGCAGAGATTTAATAGTAGTAAGGATTTTTATATTTACCATTGTGACTCATTTCTATCTGTAAAAATTCTTCAGACTCTCCTCTGTCCCGATGCCATTATGTATCCTTGAGTCAGACTGGCCTACATTTGACCCTCAAGTTGGTTCTCAGGGGCAGCAAATTACAAGGAATGAGATTTGTTTCCTTTCTTTTGTGGAACAGTTGGTGGACTTAAACTGTGTGCCTTTGGATTGGCAATGAAACTCCTTATCATTAGTCCGTCAGAGTTCCTAGTTTGTTATTAGTTGCTGTCAAGTTGCATATGACTCCTAGAGACCCTATGAAAAACAGATCTGAACTCTGCCATCCTCATCATGTCTGATATATTTTAATCCATTGCTACAGTCATCATGTCAATCTATTTTGTTGGAGTTCTCTTTTGCAAACCCTTCCCCCTTCTAAGCATTGTATCCCTTTGTAAGGGATAGCTTCTAGCAATATATCTAAAGGCAATATATCTAAAGGCAATATATCTAAAGCGTGAGAGACAAAGCTTTGCCATCCTTGCCTCCAAGGATCACTCTGGCTGCATCTTTTCCCGGACATACCTCTTTGTTCTTTTGGCAGTCTGTGGGATGTGAGTAGTCTTCTCCAGCACCACAACTCAAAGACATTAATTCTTCTTCTGTCATCCTTATTCATTGTCCAACTCCCAGATGCTTAGCAGGCAATTGAGAAACCATAGCCTGAATTAGGTGCACCTTATTCTTCAACCTGACATCATTACTCTCAAGGATTAGAGAGAGTTCTCGGACAGTGGACTTCCCTAATATAGTAAGTCTTCTGATTTTACTGATTGTTGGTACCAAGGATGTGAATTGTTGATCCAAACAAGATGAAATCATTGATAATTTCAATACTTTCTCCAGCTATCATGATTATGACTATTAATATTGTGGTGAAGACCTTTGTTTTATTGATGTTAAGATGTAATCTTTACCAAAGGCTGTAGTTCTTAATAATCTGCAGCAAATATTTCATGTCCTCATTTTCAGCACGCATAATTGTGTCATCTGCATGAAGTAGGTTTTTGATGAGTCTTCTCCCAATCTTGATTCCACATTCTTTTTCAAAGTCCATATTTATGAATAATTTTCTCAGTGTACAAATTTAATAGAGATGGACAAAGGATACATCCCTGAGCACACCCTTCCTGATTGTAAACCATGTAACTTTCCTTTACTCCATTTGGACAACAGCTTCTGGTCTAGGTGTAGATTTCTTATAAATACTATTAAGTATTTTAAGATTCTCATTCTTCTCAATTTTAGCAATAATTTATTATGAACCAGTACAAAGAGCAAGAGCCATGTGGGGATGGCCATATCTGACCTTTACTGACTTCACAAAGGGGAACTGTCCCCATAAATAGCATAACTAACACCTCAAAATCACTTCCTGTGAGGCCAGACATGTCCCTCACACTCCCATACCTCTTTCTACTCATCTCAACACAAATTTTACTGCTTTGTTGTGTCCAAAATCTGATGCAATAGCTCACACACCACACACAATCCTTTTAGGGAAGTCAAAAGGTTATAATCCAGGTTAATAACAATTAAATCAAGAAGCTCCTGAAATGTGCATGCAGGCACCTCAGCATCGGGCCTTGTGATTCTAATTTGACAAAATTTGTTCTTGCTTTTTAGAGGGAACTTAAAAAGTAACTACATCTTTATCATTGAATTATATGGAAGAAATAGTTAAGGAAACTGAAAAAAAAAAACAGTCTTCAGTAAATTTAAAATATAAAGATTGCAGGATAATGAAGATAGAAATTGAAGGGAAGCAGCAACAAGTGATATTTTAAAAGAATTATAGAAAAATTTACCCCCACCCCGCTTTTTATTTATTGTTGCACATTTTCTTTCCTTCTCTAGCCCACACTACAATGCATCCCTTGTTCCACATTGTTGTCATGAATATAAGGCTTAATTATATATTTATTTTGGATAGTTCGTCCCTTCATCGGTTCTAGGGCAGTGTTTAGTTTCTATTCACCCTTTTCTCATTCTCCCCCCAGACCCCCAGGTCTGTCCTATTTTATAACAATGGTGTTATACACTATGTGTCCTTTTGTGACTGAGGCAAATCACTCAGCCTAATGTTCTCCAGGTTCCCCATGTTGTGTAATGTTTTATGAGCTCATTGTTTTTCAGTGAGGCGTGATAGCCCATTGTGTAAATGTACCATAATTTTTCTATCCACTCATTTGTTGATAGACACTTGGTTTGCTTTCATCTATTTACTATTGGGAATAACACAGTAATGAACATGGGTGTGTATATATTTATTTGATTTGTGGACCTGGTTTCTTTAGGGTATATTCCTAGTAGTGGAATTGCTGGGTCAAATGATATTTTTATTTTAAAAAAAAACAACAAATGCACACACACATCCAAAAAAAAAAAAAAAGAAATCCACATCAGACTGCCATCTATAGTGTCTGTACCATTTTACATTTCCACTAGCAGTGAATAAGAGTTTCAATCTCTCCACAATTTTGTCATAAGTTCTGTTGAACTTTGCTACTGTTGCTGAGGGGAGATGAATTTTTATAGTTATTCTGACTTGCATCTCACTGATGGCTAGGGATTTTGAACATTTCTTTAAGTGTCTCTTTGCCAGTTGATGTCTTCTTGAATGGGTGAAGTGTCTATTTATATCCTGTGACCATTTTGTGATTGGATTGTTTACCATTGTGTTTTGAGGTATTGAAGTATTCTATAAATTTTAGATAAATATCCCCTATCAGATATGCCATTGTCAAATATAGAGAATTCTTCAGAGGTTAAATTAGGTAACTTCTCATTAGTTTGGTGAAATTTGTTGTCTTCCTTTGGAAATCAGTCTGTTATGCTTTGGAACAAAAATTTAGTAAAAATAGTAATTAAGGCAGTGATATGAATATTATTTTCAATTAAAATTTGTCTAATGACAAATTTTAAAAGCAGCTATTGTGTGAATGTTAATTGTGCTAAATGCTTTTAATGACATATATTTACCGCAATCCTTTGAGCAACTTGATTAGTAAGAAATTATTCCCTATTGCAAAGAAAAGAAAATTAAGGCTCAGAGAATTTTGAATTTCCCAAATTTACACAGATAGTGGAAGAGTTGGAATTTTAATATCTATAAATTATACATCCATATTTGTGTGTCTATAAATTATACATCCATATTTGAGTTTTTAATTTTCTTGTTTGTGTTATCACTCACATACTTCTTGAGAAAGAATAGTATGTCATTTCACACTCCTTTAAGATAGGGCATATTCCTGGTTATGGAATAGCTGGGTCTTATGGAATTTCTTTGTTCAATTTTTTGAGAAAAAGCCAAACTGTCTTCTTAAGTGGTTGCACTGTTTTACAATCCCACTAAGTGTATGAGAACTCCCACTTTTCCACAGGGCTGCACAGTTTGATGGGTGGAGGGAAGTGAGGAGCAAAATGGGAAAAAATTAGGAGAAAAGACAGGGTAACGATGGGCAAGGTCCAATGGTTATTAATTCTACAAAACGTAATGCATGAGAATAATTATATAAAATACAATGTGAATGAAGAATAGTGTGAAACACAATGTAGATATAAACTTTGTAAGCAAACCAATTTAAAAAAAAGGAGGATAGGGCACAAAATACATAGGGTAGTGCTGTGAATCACAACCAAAGAATGCAGTGTTAA